TGTTTTTTTTTTTTTTTGGAAAGAACGCATTAATTTGTAAACAATCTTGTTAGAAAAATCATCGTTGAGTGCTTTCAAATAATATGTTTAGAATACGTGAAAATTTCATAAAAATATAGATTTGAAGAGTAAAGTAAAAAAAATCGAAAAGTGAAAGTAGTTTGCTTCATGAAAACATTTTATTGGACATTAAAATTAACGAAATCTTTAAGAGTGTCGGAAATTTTTGTACGATTTCGTAAAGACAATTCAAAAAAGAAAAAATCTGAAAAGAAATATTATAAAAATTCGAACTAACTATGGTAAATTTCGAAAGCAAATTCGACAAAAAGTCCGAAAGGGGAAAAATTATTGCATTAAGAATTCTTTAAGATTTCTGTTCTCTTCAAGATACTCTGAAGGCAGCGTTTGCAGGGTCTGTACTAGAGATGGGCAAAACACGTGATTTTCTACGTGACACGCGTGAGCGGGAGTGGTTTTGAGAGAAAAATCACGTAACTTCCGTGATTGTGCATGACTGAAACTTCGGCTGGCGTGAGCGTGCGTGCGTTAGATTTTCCGTCAACCACGTAATTTTCACATATCGAGCCCTAATCGCCAAAAAAATTAAAGCGATTTTTTTTTCAAAATTTTCTTTTTGACGCAGAAATGATCCTAGAGCATCTACACCATTTCCAGTTGTAAATGCGAAAGCGTCAATTGTAAATGAGAATAGTCATTTTTAAATAAGAAAGCGTCAAATGAAAATGCGAAAGCGTCATTTGGAAATCAGATAAGTCAATTGTAAATGAGAAAGCGTCAAATGAAAATGCGAACGCGTCAGTTGTAATTGAGAATAGTCAATTGTAAATGAGAAAGCGTCAAATGAAAATGCGAAAGCGTCATTTGGAAATGAGAAATAAAAGTAAATTAATTGCGTACTGCATATATAATAGATGATTTAAAGTCGCTTATCACTGATAATACTTAATCAATTATGTCGCTATAAAACGCGTTTGAAAAAGGAATTTTTAAGTTTTCAGAAGGTTATGATCTTCATCTTTGCTGTTTGTAAACTACGTCATATTAGAGTATGTACATAGATAAGAAGGCAGGAAAATAAAGCTGGTAAATATGCGGATGAAAACGATGTCGGTCGAATTCCGAAAAACCTTCACGAATTACTTATATACATATAAATGTATGTATGTACCTCATCATGACCTTCTCGAATCTGTTTAAACCATTACGGTATGTCTCGGATCAATGTATGTAGCTCGATAGAGAACACTCTTCGGTTTTCTTTTCGCCGAGAAGTCTCAGTTGTTTTACACTGGCGGAAGAACTACTTTACGATTAAAAAGTATATAAATCAAGTATGTTAAAAATATGCATATATATAAATTACTTGGATATTTCATTAATAAAGTGCTGCGTTTAGCGCCATATTCCCCCATGCTAAACCCCATTGAAATAATCTGGGGAAAAATCAAAATGCATGTAAAGGGGCACATCTCAAAACCCAGTCATAAATGGGCCAAACGTTGTTGAGCAACGGCTGCAATATTTGGAGAAGTTGGTGGATGATGCGAAAACTATAATCACCGGAGGAGACTGCGCGAGAGCATTTCAGCACGCAACATCTTTCCATGGAAATGCTTTATCTTTACAAGACATGCAAGTTGGGACATAATAAACTTGCATTTTTAATAACATCTAAATAATTCTGATTTCTGAATAAAAACGAGTTTCTCATTTCCAAATGACGCTTTCGAATTTTCATTTGACGCTTTCTCATTTACAATTTACTATTCTCATTTTCAATTGACGCTTTCTCATTTACAATTGACTATTCTCAATTACAAATGACGCTTTCTCATTTACAATTGACTATTCTCATTTCCAAATGACGCTTTCGCAATTTCATTTGACACTTTCTCATTTACAACTGGAAATGGTGTAGATGCATTTCCACATTAAAATTACAAATTTGAAAAAAAAATGTCGCTTACATCTTTTTGTTGTTTAGGGCTCGTATATGTATGTATACATATACATATGTATGTGTATTTTCAGCCAAAATAAAATCGTAAACTACTACTGTTTAACTTATTTGCTGTATACACTTCTGACGAATTCAAAGGTACAAACGATGAATCTGAAGAAACCGATGGCTGAGTGGAAGATCGACCTATCTCGGCAGCCAGTTCGAAAACGCTCTATCTCAAAAAACTTTTCAAGAACGGCCTATTTCAGAATTTAATTGAAAAACACCCTATCTCAAAATTCGGTTCAAAAACGCCCTATCTCACTTCAAAATGTATTGAAAATGTGCTGATATAGGGCGTTTTTGAATCGGCAGCTGAGATAGGGCGTTTTTGAAACGAATTCTGAAATAGGGCGTTCTTGAAAAGTTTTTTGAGATAGAGTGTTTTCGAACTGGCTGCCGAGATAGGTCGATCTTCCACTCAGCCATCGAAACAGTCTTTGAAGACATTAATGCGGAAATACAGATTTATTTGAAAAAATCACAAAATAAAAATTGTGACGATGTTTTAAAATTTTGGGAGAAAGCTAAAGATTTTCCACTTCTTTGAAGCTTTTAAAGGCAAATTTTACACATAGCACACTCTAAAAAATCTGTTTAAAAATGCGACTATAATTCGAATATATTTTTGTTTATTTTTTAAATTTTTTGGTAAATTTACACGTTGAATATGTATTTTTCTCGTTTACACATTTTCGTGTGTAAAAATCCTTTTTGTTAGCGGCTTTACACAATTCTACGGGTGAAATCAAACAGCAGATGTGTATTTTGTAACTTGTACACACTTTCATAGTAAATTTACGCACACCACAGCAGCTATATGACACTCTAAAAAGTCCGAAATTTAAACAAACTTTTCGTTGAATAATCGAGCATATAATTTCGCGAATAATAAGGTAGGAAATCAGTTACCTACCTTTTAGCTAGGAAATCTACACAATTTTTTTTAGAGTGCAGCTAGCTCAGCAACTATTGAAAGAGTTTTTCTGTATCAGGCAGAATTCTAGAAGAAAAACGTACACGACTACTTGGTGATAACCTCGACAAAATATTATTTTTAAACAAAAATATGAGCTAGTCGTTTTAAAATGACTTTGAATAAATATTGATGCGTTTGGCCAAGCTTTTGTAAGAATATTTATATGAAATCCTTTTTATATAAATAAAGTTTAAATTTGAAAAAAAAAACAAAATCGTGAAATATCGCGCGTGAGCATGCGTGATTGAAAAACTAGGTGTCGTGAGCGTGCGTGAAACCATCAACGTGAGCGTGCGTAAACGTGAGCCGAAATCCCTCACGCGCTCATCTCTAGTCTGTACAATAATTGTGACACTTCTGTCTGATTTTTCCAACAGCTTAACACTTTTCTCAACTCAACCCGCAATGCACTCCTTGGTTGAGTTGTTACATACACACATAATTATCCTTAAGAAAATTATATGCTCTACATTACTTACATAAGTAATTTTGGGCTCAGAAAATAGTAAAACTTATGCAAAGATTATTGAAATGCCGTTAAACGAGCGATAATGTTGCTAATTGACGGCCTTCGATGGTTTTGCGGTTGGGTCGGTCATTAAAAAAGGCAGAAAAAAGCCTGCCCTTAAAAAAAGCAAAAACCATAGCGAATGCGGTCGCCGAAGAAGGCCATTTCCTCAACTAGATACTTAATGATGCGCAAAAGTGCAAAGGTAAGCAGATCTTCCACAGGCATGTGTATGTAAAACATAAGTGGTCGTACGTGTGTTTGAAGGACTCGTATGTAAATTTTGTCATTGCTGTTTGGTTGAAACAAATCGAGGTACTTGACTTGTTGTAGTACTACATAAAAAGGAGAAACAAAAAGCGGGCAAGGATATTCAAGAGGAAGGGCAAATTAGTTGAGTAAATGAAGCGGAAAGAAAGGTTTTTATGCAACTGAAAAAGATTCTACAAAGTGTTGGCAAAACTGGCAGCATGCTCGACTAAGCGAAGAAAAACTCACGATGGCTAAACTAGCAAGCAGAAGCTCATTAATGGGAATTTATGCGGACAAGCCACGAAGTGATATGCACAACAACAAAACGAGTTAAAATTTTAGAACAAAGTTTAAGTCTTGCTCTGCTAACTCTTGTTGATCTGCAACCAAAACCGTTAACTTCGATTTTTTCGCGTCCAAACACTTCCCGAGTAACCTGTCGCTCTTAAAACGCGACACTTTAGATCGAAATCAACGCAGGAAGCAAGTGTCATAGTCGGGTTTTTAATTAGACAAAAGCAAGAGGTCATAAAAAATGAGTAAAAGTCTATACAAATTATTAACTGCATTTCAACACGCAAAAATCCTGTTGCTTTTGCTTCCGAGACGCCCTACGTATTCTACTTCCTTGTACTCCTAATTTGAAAAAGCTGGCTCGCCTTTAAATCTTGACACCCCAGTAGTTAGTGTAGAAATTATAGTCTAGCTAAATTAAGGAAAACCACTTCCTTTGTCATCCTAATTTTTTACATTTACAACCCACGATACGATCTCGTTCTTATTCGCAGGACTTAAAATGCGCCGCTGCGGCACTGGTGGAATGTGTGAGAGTCTAAACGCGCAATCACAAAGATTTTATCGCAAGCAGACTGGCAGGAAGACCATAAGGAAACAAGAAAAAACTGTCACATAAAAACACCCGATAGGAGCTAATGACTACAGGCAATGCAACGTCCTGCTGCACTCTCTTGGCGGAGAGTAAATAGTCTTTCGAAATTCCGTTGCCCGATTGATTGGTTGACTGCTTACTATTGCAAGAGAGTCAACTAGCAAAGCAAAGAGCACCACCGTGATGCAATGGGTGCGCGAGTTTCATTCACGCAAGTAGGGTTGTTGCGCTAACGGTTCTCAGAAGTTATGCTACCACGAGCGCGAGTATAAAAGCAATTTTACCCATCGCGTTTAGTCAGTTTGTCAGCAAATGTGAACGAGAGCACAGTTTTGCCTTCCGAACTGTGACTCCCTAAACATATACGAAATAGCAAAATGTTAAAGTGGACGGCGTCAGCGCAGAAGCTGAATCAGCTCACGCCGAACATAAAGGCGGCTACGACGACATTACGTTCACCGCACCCGTTAACAGACGCGAAACGACGCCGCCGACGTGCCACAATCAGCAATAAGGAGAACATCGTACCATATACCTCAACTCCGATGGTGGCGCGAGAGCGCAACAGCCCACTGGTGCTTTCGCCGTTAACGGATATTTTGAATGTCACACCGAAAACGCAGTCGCCGCTGACGCAGCGCACGCCAGAGCGAATGTCGAACCCGAGTACGAGTACAACCAGCCGGGCACTGCCCAATCGTCGCCATTCAACAGTGGGGTTCTTTCTGCACCCGGCCCCTCATTACGCTTCCACTCTGCCACGCTTCGAGGAAGAATACTCGCCAAGCACAGCGCTGCCTACTGGACAACAAGTAGCTTTAAGAGGACTACTGCCAGACCCTTTCCTCAGCAACTTGCGCTACTTTAACACACCCGAGTTGGAGAAGCGAAAGCAAAAGGAGGCACAAGAAAAGCTGAAGGCCGCCAGAAAATCATTGCCACGAAAGCTAGAAGCAGATTTTGCTGAAATTGCGCGAGAATGTTGCGGCGACCAGCAAACTAAGCGCAACTACAATGAGTCGCATTCAGCCGGCATGAGCGACCAAACCTTAGACAAACTCATTGACGCTATACTCGACTCAGCGCGCAAAGGCGAAAAGAAGAAGATGAGACCGCGCAAGTCATTCAACTTACGTCGTCGCACGCTGCTGAAGAACCAGACCGAGCAAAAAGTCAGCGAATTAGTTTTGTCACCATCCTACGCGCCCGGCGACGATCCAGCGAGTGATCTCAGCTTCCTCTTAGCCGAACCGGTATCGAAAAGCATGATGAAGGTGCAGGGATCTACTAAGGCATCGCCACCCACACCAGCTCCAGCTACACCCTTGCCCGGCACGCCTATATCTGAGGAAGTATTGCAAAAAATGCCCACGCCCGCCACCTGCGCCTGTGCAGCACAGCTACATTTTCTGCGCTCGAGCACAAGCAAGGAGCGATTGGATACCACGTTCACGCTGGAGACGCCCGTGCGGTTGCCTATGCAGAGGAAGCTACAGCGGCGGAAAACATTGGCCGTATCGATCGGCGGCGGCACGAAGCGCTTCAAGGCCGATGGTAGCCAAAACTACTACGACGTTGGAGTTGCGTTACCGTCGATCTTTGTTTGAAGTTGCTGAGGATGGGAAATTGTCGTAAGAATTTATTACTCTTTAAGTTTATCGGTTTATTGAAACCATATTTGTTGATTTGTTGACAAACTGGGGGAAAATGCTCGCTTATTACGCTTTTAGTTTTTAAGTCTCTTATTTATTTTTACTTTTAACTAATTTAAGTAGGTAATTTATGCACTAAGTAGGTTTTAATATTAGGAAAATTATCATTTTATTACATACATACATACATACATCATCATCATTGGTCAGTGTCGTCGTCATCGCAGTTGTTAATGTATTTGTTCCTTTATTGGGTGTCTAATGCTTGAATCGATTTATATACATTTGTTCATCAAGAGTTGAAATAAATGCAAAAATAACTTCTTTGAAAAAAATATATTTATCTTCTTCCTTCATTTCTTTCAATTTCTTTTTGTCTTAGTGGAAGGCGTGCTTCTGAATTCAAAGATGCTTTGAGTCATTTTTTTATCAAGTAAGGAATAATTTCAGCAGCTGAAAGAAAACAATAAACTTGTTTGTACGAATACTTATTGAAAAAAATTCAATTTACGGTTTTCCGGTGGTAAACCCTTCCGCTCTCCCGCCTTTCAACCGAAGCACAAATTGATAGTTTAGAATTTGGTGAAATTAATGAGGAGGAAAATTAAAATTTAAGACGACACAATTGTTTAGTGCCAGAACAGGTTGCCGAATGCGGAGCAAGTGCTTATCGAAGAAAACGCGAAGAAGACCAGCGTTAGCTAAGAAAGGGGTTGGTTGTTGATTCACTTTACCATTAGTGAAGTGGAGTTAGAACATTGAAAGCGTGCAGCTGTTCGCATTCTATAGGATATGGACTAGGGCTGGGAGTTCTATCCGGATTTTTTGAATAACCGGATAATTCGAGTATCTGAATATCTGAATAAAAAAAAAACCAATACCCGGATAACAAAATGAACGGATATTAGGCGAACATTCGCATATGCCGATTTTCGAATCTAAAAATAACAATAAAAAAAATAACTTTTTTGTGTGAAGAGTTCTATTATTTATTTAGCAACTCAAATCATACAGTAATTCTGAGAACAATTTTATGAATCCGTTCAAACACTGATTAGAATATACCGATATCTGGTTAACCAAATGAATAACCAGATATTCGCATAACAAAATATAACGGAATTAATCGGATAACCGGATTTTATCAGATTATACGAATATACGGATAGGTGCAGCCCTAGTATGGTCAATAGTTTTGCGACATACGAAGGTGCTAATAACACATTGCTACGGTTCAGGGCAGTGCCGTGTTAGCTGCAACGTAATTTACAAATTTATCAAAATACAGAGGTATGCACTTTTCCGGTTTGTTAACTAAAATGCAGATCATTACGTTTGAGACATTTGCATTTGCGACATCCAGCGTTGAAGCCAAAGCATAGAATTTAGTCCCCTTTCTTTACTTTATCTTTCCGCCCGCATTTTTCCCAATAGCAGCAATAACTTCCACCTCCATACATTGCCTCAACTAGTAACAGGTAGCGCTGCGCCGACGCTCTTAGCGCATGCTACGCCTACCAATTAGCTAAGCCATTTGTTTGCTCAGGCTTGTCCGTCTAAACAAACGTCGCTCAGGTGCTTCACCTTGGCACAGGTATACGCTTTGTAGACATGACTAACGAAGCTGCGGTGCACAATTCTACATTCACGCCTTTTATTTTGGCTCTCGCAACCGTCACAACTCGCCTTTGACTGAGCAGCTGTCGCCAATGGCAGTCTATCAATTAGTGCGACACTTGTTAGCACTTCAACGCCTATAACCGCTGCCTCTCTGCCATCTAAACTCTTCCACCATCGCCGCACACACACACACACACTTCCTGATCTTTGTCATTTTCCAAGAGCATTTGTGTTGGCTACTCTACAAATATTGCTACGTAATCCTGTTTTTCGTACGACAGGTTTTCCTCTCTAATTCGAATTCGCATTTTCTGTGGGTTTTTCCCTCATACCGAGGGTTTGTTTTGTTGCAACTGCGTAACGGATTTGGATTAGAACTCGGTTGGTCTGCTGCGTCTGCAATATTAGTGTCATTGTTCATTGTTGGAGTAGGAGTTTCTGTTGTCCTCGATCGCGCACGTGTCTGCTGTCTGTAGCGAATGACAAATTGAAATTCGGTCCAACTCGTAACACCGGTTCTGAGTCGACATTTCGTGGAATCGAAACCTGCTGGTTGACTCTAATTGAATAGGTAATTGCTTAATTGGATTTGTGGTTCAGAAAGCGTTACACTTCAATTGAGTAATGGTTTGTGGCGTGGCCAGTTTTAATTGTAAAAGTTGTAAATGCGAGGGAAAATTTGGAAAAGTCTACACTCAAATAGTATTCACGCTAAAAGACTACTACATTACATCTGTGATTTCAATTTATGTAATTTTGATTTAATTTGGGTTTTGCCCTTAAAAGGGGTTAATGGTATGATCAGTGTGACCAGCTTAGCTGTTTTGAGGCTAGAACTTTAAGTCTAGTTTCGTGGCTTTTTTCTGACCTTTCTTTCACTTTTTTACTTCAAATATTCATAATAAAATAAAAAAAAATTGCAATGGCTGTGCTACTTTGCTTTGAGAAAAATATTATTAAAATTATATTTTAGTAAATTCTGATATATTTAGAAAACAATAATTTTTCTTTAGTTTGATGTCCCCTGAGACTATTTACCATATTTCTATTCACAAAATTTTCGCGCTTTTCCTATCCTTAACCGAACTCGTTTTTGCATAGATTGAAGGAATGTAGCCGTTATTAGTCTAATGAATTTTATTTTGTATTTTGATGAGAAGGATTTAAACAAGGAATTTAAAGAAAGCCGCTTTCGATGAGCTTGTCGAATTGGTGAAAAGTTGTAGTCTTTTTAACTTTTTCATAGAACATAACTTCTTCTGGCGCTTTTTCAAAATCAATTTCGCTTCGGTTTATGGGGTCTTCTGGCCACACTGGACATCATATGGAGCATATGAGAATTCGGAGCCCCATTAGCGCGCTGATGTCCTCTCTCTTTAAACTAGACCGAATTTACATAGCTGCAAGGATAACTCAAAGCAAGAGAAACCCCATCATAATCTCGAACCCTTTCTCACCACCTTTGCCAAAAAGAATTTATTTGTGCTTTTAAATATTTTTTTTGGATTTTTTTAAGATGATAAATTTACAACCGCAAATTGGCGACCATTACTGTCTCACCGTCTTTCAATTAAATTTCCATTAGGACAGATACTTCATTCATTGCGTCAATCAGTTCATCGCAATGCCAGGCTGACACATCAGCTGCGCCTGTATCCTTCCAGACATGTTGTATCCCAGTGAAAATTTCGTCTGAGACCTTGCGAGCTCCTTTCTTACCCTTGGGCGTCGTGCCGTGCTTCCTTTGCTTTTATTCTTCGGCTGCGTGTGCATTGTTGTTTTTGCTGATCTTATTTTCAGGGCGTGATTTTTAATTTTCGATTTCAATTCATGCAATTCTGTCAACAGTGCCAGCGTTGCTGCGGGCTGTTGCAAGCTTCCGTCGTCTTGGCTGTTGCACCTTTGCGCCACAATCGAGTGACTCTCGGCTGCTTCGCGTCTACCTTTGCGGTCATTGCCGCGGGCAATTGTGCGAGTTCCTACGATTGCCGGCTGGCGGCTGCACCGGTAGCTCGCAAGACTACGAAAGGATTTCCATTTTGCAGTTTGCAAAAACGAGTAAACATCTGTTGCAGCGATTTACGTATGTATGCATGCCCATAGTTTACTCATTTTTTGTGAGTTTATCCTTTTTGGCAGTCACAGCAATGGCTTGCAATGCTGGTGCGTACGCATTTGTGTATGTATGTATGTATATGTCTCGCTAGTGTTTATTTAAACACAAAGGCATATCCTTGCGGTGCATATTTACTTAGGCAGACATAGGTACGCACAAAGGATTTTTTGGCGATTGTTTGTACACTTTCGAAGTTCGTTCCCTACTCCGTAAGACATTATCCTTTGGCGTACATTTTAAAGTAAGAATTTGTCGAAAATATGAGAACTCGTTTTCAGCGCAAAAAATTGTCTTTTTTTAAATTCAATTTCCGATAATTTGTTTTCCGTCAACATGGCCGAAGACTAACACTGCTTTACTAAGCCTTTCTCATTTACTGCTGCAGCATCCTTTCGGTTGACGCATTCAGCTGTAGGCCTTATCACCAGGCAACTGCTGCTAAGCTCCACATGCGGCCAATTACATAAATCTGCTTAACTGCTTGAAGTAAAAGTAGCTCGGCGCAAAGCCGCAAATAATTGTGCAAACCCCCGCCACAGCAACACACAGCGGTTCGTTCATACACGACGGGCATGCGCAAGGAGCATGTGGGCTTTCCAGGATATGCGCTATAAGCTGTCTATTGCCGAGTGAAAGTAACGCAAATGTATTTATGTATTTGGCAAATATTATGCAAACAATGGCCGAAGTAGTCGTGCGATGGCAAGCAGCCCAGCCCGCACACCCTGCAGTGAGCGCCGCGGAAAGTGTCCTACCAGCGCTTTGCCCAAAATATTTAATTTTCCGTTTTTTGTGCCGCGTTGTTGCTGTTGCTGTTATTGTTAGTGCTCTACAAAGGTAAACAACATGCAAATCCCTTTTTTATTATCAGCACAATGCTGCGCCGCACTCTCGGCGATTAGGCAAAAGCCAGCCAAAACGTAATAATTATAATTCATTTTGTATATCGTTTGTTTATGCGCAGATTTGAGGATGTGTTGTTGCGCACGCCCCTTCGCCAGGGTAGATGACACCCCGCTGCGTGCCAAGCGCAAACCACGCCAAGTGAAAGTTCACGCAGCCTAAGCAGCGGCAGCGCAGATATTTTCTCTCTAGCACAGGCTGGAATTTTCGGTTAATTTTTGGAGTGCAGGACAAATGCATAGGAAAGTGATTTGCGCGAACGGATTGAGGCGCTTGCAAAAAGGACACTACGACGACCGATTTGCTAATTTATCGAGCGCATGCGGTTGCTTTGCTTTTGTTTATTTTTAACTACACTCAATGGGCAAATAAATGATTGGCACGCTCATTTTGCAGATGTCACTTTAATTGGCCATAAATTCAAATCATGAAATGGCGCATTTGAAGGCTGCCTCAAAGGAAGTGCGTACACAGTGACGCCTTCACTATTTTCGCGTAGTTGAAAAGCAACAAGGATTTATTTCTAAAAATACGTCTAACATCAAATTATCAAAACTCAGCTATCGCGCTGATTGCTTATCATAGCCTGGTAAATGATGAACGACCACAACCGGAA